GCAGCATCCGGACTGAGCGCTTAGTTCCTGACCGGTCAGGAGCTCAGGGAGGAGCCTTGCTGGCCTGAGGAGGCCTGGGCCCAATCCTGCTCCCATCCTCATCCACAATGACTACCTGGCCCCTCTTCCCGCTGAGCTAGTTTCTCCTCCTTCCAGCCCAACAGGAAAGCTTCTGTGGCTCCGCCAGCCCAGTATCCAACCGCAAGCCCTCTGGGGGTTGTGTGGGAGGGGGCTGTGCCGCTCCTTCCCTGCGGGCCCCCACCACCCTGCCACTTTCCTTTGTTACGACTGGGGGGGGATTCCTTTCTCCTCTGTTTCTTATTGTTCCCTTGTTTCTTACTGCACAAACCCACCCACATTCTCCCTGCCCTCTCCCTCACTCCAAACCTCAAAAGTAGGCTCCCAGCCCCAGGAGCAAGTGGAGAAGATGAAGCCAAAGTGAAGAGTGGGCCAGTGCCCAGTCCCCTCCTCACAGGCTACTGGCCTGGTCTTCCTTGGCTGCTGCCATCCCCCCAAAGCCTGGGCCATCCCAGCACTCCAGGCTTTGGCCACACAGTTCCCCCAGTGCACTGGCTTCTCTCGACCCCAAGCCTTTGTGCCCTCCAACCCACCTGTGTGGAACGCCATTCCTCCCTTGGCCCCCTGGAGACACCTCCTTGCTGTTCGCAGGGCCGGCGTGGCACAGAGAAAACCACCAAGGCTCTGAGGTCCTTAGGTGCAAACCCTGGCTCTGCCGCGTGACCCTGGGCACGTAAATCTGCTTCTTCGAGCTGAGCGAGCCCCTCTGTACAGAGGACAGCGAGACCAATCCTGTCCCAGGGTCGCTACGAAGACTCACTCCAGTGCCTGGCACATGGTGGGTGCTCTGAGACCTTGGCCAGGAGAGCTGGGCGTTTTCTTTACAGCATTCCTGTAGCCTCTCAGTTCTGCTTGTACTGTGGGCCTCTTCGTACGGCTCTAACCAGTAGCCTAAAGGGGTGCGTCCCAATGCTGGGTTCAGATTAGTAGCTTCAGAGATATTTGGTGGGTTAATGAAGACCCCTCCAACAACAGCACAGGGCAGACTCTGACAGTTCAGAGAGTCCCCTGCATCTGCAGACCTCTGTTTCCCTCTCTACCTCCTGACCCACAGCACCCAGAAGGCTCTTTCCTCTGCCGCCGTGGCCTCTGCCCGCTCAGTCCTACTGACCTGCTTTTCTGCTCATGGCAGCAGCAGCAGCAGCCTCATCTTTGCCTGGTGCTGACTTTTGAGCTCTTAAACCACCAGGCAAGCGGGCAAGATAGTGGCTAGAGTGATACTCAGCCGCCTCCCCTGTGTCAGCCCCGCCCTCTCTGGATATCGCCCCAGGGCTCTGGGAGACCAGGGCACAGTGACCCTGGTCTGGGAGGTGGGGAGTGGGGGGAGGCTGAGGCTCTCCAAGGAGCCACCCCCTTGGCTCTGGCTGGAAGGGAGCCCGGACAGGTCAGGCAACAGGGATCGGCGGGGGAGCGGTGTGTGAGAATCTCCAGGCGGAGCCCCGTGAGGACCTGCACACCCCCCTCCCCAGTGCCATCCCTCCACCCCACCCCCAGGTCCGCCCCCTCCAGGCCCCGCAAACCACTTGGGGGCTGGGCTGAGGTTAAAAAGAGAAAAAAAATGTTCGTTTATCAAGTACCTTCTGCAAACCACGCATGGTGTTTAGTTACTTTCATAATCACTCTCTCTTCGTTTTTCCTTTTAGAACATGTTCTATTTTCCTGGTGTTTTAGTAGGTAGTACAGCATACGGTGGTGCAAAATGCAAAAGAGTCGAAAGGGCAGATGGTAAAAAGTTTGTCTCTCTCCTCTCCTGTCCCCCGGGTTCCCTCTGCAGGGGCAACCGCAGTTACCGAAGTCTTGTGCGTTCTCCTGGAAGATTCTAGGCATTTACACACATATCCTGGACTTTAGCTCCTGTGACTTACACCGAGGGAAACTGAGGCCCTTCGAGGCGCGGAGGACTTAGACTAAGATCACGCACCTGGTAAGTGGGCAGAGCTGGGGCTTGGAACCAGACCTAACCGTAAAATGCAGCTATTGTCTCCACCCACCCTCCGGCAGAAATAAACCGTGGTACCGTGGAGCCCCTTCTGAACCACCGCTGGCAGCAAACGTCTAGTCTGAGGCCCTGGGGACCTGGGTGCCTCTGCCTTCCTGTCTGCTGAGTATCCATCACCTCCCCCTTGTGGCTCCAGGGGAAGCCAACTTAAAAGGGAAGAATCACACCCCTACGGAGGAAGGGAAGGGCCCAGGTGTCCTTCCTGGGCTACTGTGTGGCCAGTGGTCCCCCGGGGTGCCCCTGAGTCCTGGGGTCCAGAGAGGGCTGGAGGGGGAAGCTAGATGAGTGTAGGTCTCTGGTTAGAGAGGATTGAGGTTGTGGTTTCAATTACATTTCCAGAAAATGGCTTCATGACCTCCCTGTGGCTGGGCAGGGCTGGGGAGAATGTGAAGAGGGGGGCCTGCGCTCTGTGGTGGCCACATGCTCATCCATGAGAGCAAGGGAGGTAGGCTGGGGCCAGAGCTGGCTGGGAGTGAGTCGGAGATCCGGACAAGGCTGCCCTCCAGACTCACGGGCCTCTCTCCCTCCTGGGTCAGGCTAGCTCGGGCTGGGAGGTGACGTCGACTGTGTCCTGTGGGCCTGTCTTCCTTTGCAGGTATGCCTCTGGGAACTTTAAAAAGAACTTTTAAAGTTATATATATATTTTAAAAGATGTTACTTATTTATTTTTTTAGAGAGGGGAAGGGAGGGAGAAAGAGAGGGAGAGAAACATCAATCATTTGCCTCTCATTTGCACCCCAAACAGGGACCACCAAACCCACAACCCATGCATGTGCCCTGACCAGGAATCGAACCGGCGGCCTTTTGCTTTGCTAGACGATCGTCAAACAATTGAGTCACACCAATCGCAGTGCCTCTGGGGCCTTTCTGTGTGGGCTCACTGTAGGATCTTTCGGGATTCTAGCTTCCTGTTCAGTTTCTTTCTTTCTAGGACTCCTTGTGTGTCATGTCTCAATCTGGCACCCCCCCCCCCAACTGAGGGGATTATACCCCTGAGGTCCAGGAGAAGAGACTTGCACCTCATCTGAATTGGCAGGTAGGGAGAGATAGGCATTGGACCTTCTTTCCTGCCTCAGGTTGACAATATCCTTGTTTTGCTGAGGCAGTGACCCTGTTTGTGCACACAGCCAGCCAGCTCTATCTGGTACCTAAGGGTCAGTCAGGTATGTGCTAGGCTAAGGTGAAGAGCAGAGCCTTCCCTGCCCCACCCTCCAGGGCATTCAGACCAGCACCCGGCGGCACGGCAGCCGAGGCGACTGGACTGAGTCCTAACCCTGACCAGTCCTAGGAAGGGGGGTGCAGATCTTAGCAGTTATTAAAACAGTTCTGATAGTTAACAGCTCCACAGTGCCATATAGCAGCAGAAGCACTTCATATGCATTAACTCCCCAGAAGGAGATGAGGTAGGTCCTATTACTGTAACTGTGTAACAGTGAGGAAACCGAGGCAGAAAACCTGCTCCAGGTCACACAACTCAGGGAGTTCACAGTGAGCCTGGTTTTGGAGTCTGTGCTCTTAGCTATTACACAGTCCTCCTGGTTTCCATTTCTATTCCTAGAGCACACAGTTTGTTCCTCAAATATTCACTGGGTGTCTGCTCCGGAATGGGCACGGAGGGGAGTTGTAGAGGGGGGAATGGGATCTTGTGTCTGCTGTTGGGGGCAGAGAAACATGTAAACAAATTGCCTTTCAACATGAGAGGTGCCAGAATAGAGGCATGAACATGTGGTGGGGAACAGGAAGGGCGAGGTTCTTACTGCCTGGAGCCAGTGTCACCAAAGGGCAGACATCAAGAGCGCAGGAGGACATTCCAGGCGGAGGGAACAGCATGTGCGCAGGTTCGAAAGCTTACGAGACAGAGAAATGCGGTGTGTGCCCTGGTGTCGAAACCTCATGCACAGTGACTGTGGCAGGTGTTGCCAGACAGCTCAGGGCTGGAGCTTCCGTCCAGCTTCCTGCTCAGGCCTGTCCTGCCCCAGCCTCCAAGCTCCCTGCACCTACTCTGTGTGATGCCCTGTGCCAGGTATTGGCCCAGAGTGTGGGATAGAAGCAGGAGCCTGGGTCAGGGAGAAGGACTTTGTGATCAGCTGCAGACACAAGGATCTTTGTGGCTGGTGTTATTCTGGAGGTAAAGGGGAGGCTGTTGGGAAGAGCTGCCAAAGGAGGATTATGGGAGAACTTGGGGACTTGCTGACCCAGGTCATCCCTGAACAAGAAGATTTTCGGACTGTAGAGAAGGGACCTCTGTGTGTGTGTGTGTGTGGGGGGGGTCCTTCTCCTTCTGCCCCTGCAGCTGGGGCTCTGGGGATCTGACATGCCTTGCTTTGGTACTGGCCCTCGAAGGGTTGCCAGGGAAACCGTTGGCCAGCTCCCGAGATGTACCCAGAGGAGAGGACAGTGGGTGACTCAGGCTGTCTTCTCAGAGGCTGCACCCCCGCCCCATTGCATGGAAAAGGGTCTCCAAGACCTCTTTCCCTTGCATCCTACAGCAGTGATCCAGCTAATTCTCCCTTTTCTGGATAGTGCAGTCAGCCCCTCCCGCAGCGCTGACTGGTGGGAGCTAGCAAGATTCCCCAGGGAACAAAATGGTCTCAGACGCCCTTGTGCCCCAGAGATTGACTCTGGAACAGTGGACGGATCCGGTTGGCCTTGGTGAGCGTCAAGTGCCGTGTCTGTCCAGGCCTTCCGCCACCGTGGTGGGAAGCAGCAGACGCCCTGCCTGAAACTCCCTCCTGGGAGCAAACCCGGGATAATTATTGATGGGACAGTGGCGGACTTCTGACCTCGGCCTGGGAGGGACAGGACCCAGGACGCGGGCCTCAACCAGGGGGAAGAGAGGCAGGCGGGCGGGCGGGCGGCGGAGGGGGGGCCAGTCCGCGCGACACACAGTGACCACAACAGTACCGCCAGGGCCCTGCTGCTGGTGGTGGTCGACACTAGGCAAAGCAGCGTGTGCTCGTGGCCGGTGGGACCTGGCTGGGCAGCCAAATGGGGAAACCACCCTCGGCCGACTGCGAGGGGCTGCGCGCGGCGCCGCTTCCCCGGAGCGTGCAGCGGCCCCGGGTGCGCGGAGCCCCCGGGTCCGCCCCGGGTCCCCCCAGGGCGGCCGCGGAGGGGGTGCGGGAAACCGCGGGGCTGGCGAGCGCGCTCCAGGCGGAACCAGGAAGCGGCGCGCGCTGGCGCGGGGCGCGCTCCGGGGGGCGGGCGGCGCGCTCGGCCGCTGTGGGCGCGCGAGCGGCGCGCGCGCCCCCGTGGGCCCCGGCGCTGGGAGAGTCGGCGCTCGGAGCCGTCACCCGGGCGAGGATCCTGCGCAGGCGGCTGCGTGCGGCGCCCCGGCCGAGAGAGGGAGCGAGCGAGAGGCGGGCGGGAGGCAGCCGCTGGCGCCCGAGGGGCCGAGCGAGGTAGGAGCTGCGGGACCGGTCCTGGGCTCGGGGCCGGGGGGGGGGGGAGAGACTGGCGAGTCCTCCCCGGGCGGGGCCCCGCGCCCCAGTCGCCGAGACGCCGGGCTGGGCCGCGCGCCGCCATCGCTCCGGGGCAGGGAGGCGGCCCCGGTGGCCGGGCGCGGGGTGTGGGGCGGTGGGGGCGGTGGGGGCGCGGCACCGGGATACGCGGGCGGGGGGGGGGCGGGCGGCGCGTGGAGGCCGCGGCAGCGGAAGGTGTGCAGTGGGGGCGGTGCGTGCGCGCGTGTGTCTGGGGAGGGGGTGTGGGGGACCCCGGCGCACACCCCTGAGATCCCAGGGGACGGCTGCCTGCCACTCACTCTTTGGTGGTGCAGTTCCGAATAGCCCCCGCCGCCTTTTTGCTTTTCCTCGGTTCCAAAGAGGTAACTGCGACTCCCGGGGGTGGGGTGAGCCCGGGGGTGCCCGGTGGGGTGGGGGTTATTCGCAAAGCTTTAGGGAACAGTGCCTTATAAGGAGTCAGGGCGACAAATACGATCATTTCGATCAGGCTCTGGGTGCGGGGACCCCACAGCGGGACCCGCCAGGCCTGGGTTCGTGCGTGTGGCAGCGGGATGCAGCGTGTTCTTTTTTTCCTAGCCCAGGGTAAAGCGCGAAAAAGTGCTCCTGGTGCCGGGGTAGTTCTAGAGAGTCGGAGGAAGGGGACTCGAGTGTCCCAAAGGCTGGTCCGAGGCTAGAGGAATCTGGCAGGATGGTAATAAGGCGGATCAAAGAGGAGAGAACTTACGAGGAGCAAGAGGCGACTGCAAACACTTGTAGCCAGCCAGCAGTGATGGAAAATGCAAAGAAGAAAAACAAGTACCAGTTTTCAGGAAGACGAGATTAATGAAAACCACAAGAATTTTACAGGCACAGAGAGATAGCAGTCCTCTCCTTCCCAAAGAGCCATGCTCAGGTTTTTTGGTTTTTGTTTTTTTCCTTCGTGTCCCCCGTGACCCTGTCATAGCTTTGTATCAAATAAACAGTGCTAAAAGCAGGTCATCGAAGGTTAGATCCGGGAAGGGCCCCGGGGATTGTGCTACATTCTTGGCTGGTACGAATGAGGAAACTGAGGCCCAGGTAGGTGGAGCTAGGGCCTGCCCAGGTCACAGAGTTGTGTGGTCGCTCAAGGCCTGAAATGTCTCTGCGAGGATTCCGAGAAAAGTGTTGTCCCCAAGGCACAGTGGAGTGGGAGATCTTTGCCTACATGCAGTTTCATGAGCTGTCTCTGGAATGTTTGGGGGGAATGCCCTGTGAAAGGCTAGTGTGTCACTGAAGTATTAAACTGATGTTAGGTGTTTTTTTTAAGTCTTCGAATGGTTTATCGCCTACTCACATGTTAGGTTTCCCAAGTGGTTGGATAGCCACCTAGGCCATAATAAGCTTTCAGCTGTTGAGTATTATCTCAAATAATGTTATCGCTCAATTAAGATAAGAGAACTTTGCCTCTTTTTGCAAGGTTCCCCTATTCCTGTACCTGTGTTTGTTTTGTTTATAGTCATTTGCTGTGGTTTTTAGAAGAGCATGCATTTCATTTAGTACGCCTTCACATTTTTTAAAATTTTACTTCGTTACACTGCGGACATTGGATTGGTTCTGATCACTTCAAATGGATTCCATCATTGGAAGGTTGATTGTTGAGGCTCCGATGTTTTTGGTTGTTTCGATGCCACTTTCCAGCTCATGGAAGATCACAGCTGTAAGAATTGAGAGTGTAAATGGGAAAAGGGGCTGCTGGTTTTTGGAAAAACGTACTGTGTGACAATTTGTAATGTCTGTTATGCTTAATTCAAAGAGTACCACACCTTTGGTCAGGTAAATGTTATCCAGCAGATCTCTTGTTTTCTGTTGCCTTTGGGAGATGAAAATTTCAAGCCCCTGGTTGAGACATAAAGGAAAGAATGAAGAGACCTTTCTTTAAAAACATCAGGAAAAAAAAAGAGTTGATGTCTATCACCAGAAGTTTGGTTATTGCATAATTTGGTGCTAAAGTCTGCATTAACATCTTAGCCATATATCCTGCTAAGTAACTTATCCCAGCTCCTCACTAGTTCTTGGCTTTTCCAGCATTCACATTTTTGCCAACAGGATATTAATATGGGTCGTGCTAAAAATGTGAGGTGGGTGTGTTTCTCGGAGGGGCACGTCGAGAGCTGTGCGGTGGAAGGGAAAACCGTGCTATTGTTTGGAACGTTACGACATAAATATTTTGGTCAGCACTTCCTATTGTGGGCCAACTTCTCATTTCATCTTCACTTTCTTGCTCTCCATTGACTTTTTAAAATAGTAATTATACTTGCCAAAAAAACCCTCCACATCAAGACTAGTAGAAGATGTCCTTTCTTGCTCTTTTCGTACTTATGTCAGTTTTTTAAAAGTTATATTCAGATTATTTCAAGTTACATTCAAAACTTTTGTGACTTGTGTTAGGTTTATATTTATGAATGGTTTTGTTTTGTGGTGGTTCATCTGGCTTATTTTTGTATAGGTAGGTAATACAGGTAGTCTTAGGAAAGGAAGAAGTTATAAGTAGATAAGTTATATGTTCAACATTCAAGTGCAGATTGAAGGTAGAATAAAAAAAAGGTTAAGTATTCTAGTGCCCTACACACCTGTATGCATTCATAAAGTACTCATAGATTCCTGGACCTCCTAATTACCAGTGATACATTTTTCCTTTCTATAGAGTACAGATTACCACAGGTTATTCCTACAGAAGGAAGAAGAAACCTCCCATTTTTATTCATCTGTCTTGAGCATTGGAAACTTAACTCTTTTAAAAACTTGTCTGATAATTCCAGTTTGCTGAGCTCTTCAGAAAAATACTCCTTTTACTACATAATAAAGTATCAAAATAGTTAGACTCTGCAACTTCTTAATAAAAATAATGTGATGTTAACGCTAAAGTATCACCGTCTCCAGTGTTGTGTGGTGTTCAAAGGAAAAAACTTTTCTTTAACCCTGAGCTTTGTTAACTGTTCTAAAATCAGAAGTACGTTTTCCCCTGCAATGTTGGAAACACAAGTTTTATGCTTGTTTGTGGGAATAGAAAGTCAAATTGAACAGCCTAGTTTCCATTGATCAGACCATTTTGGGGTTTTTGTACATTTCAGTTGTGAACATTACAGCTTTAAAAAGTTTTGTTTAAAAATTGTGTTCACTCTTCATTAGCATGTCCTTATTTTAAGTAGAGTATTGATGCTAGAATTAAAAAAAAATAATGATGGAAAAAAAAAGTAATGATGATTCTTTACTACTGAAAAACCTAAGCCAGTTTGGAGAAGATTCTGCACATCTAAGTCTATGCTGTTTTCACTAGTCACAGGAAGGAATGATTTGCGGCTGCTGGATTTTTAGTTGATTGAACGAGACCCTCACTGTCGGTGGTTTCAGAGTTTTAGGCGACGTTTTATTACTGTTGTTAGTTTTGGTCGCACCCATGACTTCCTTGGAAGGTATCTTTGAGGTTTGGTTTCCTTTTTTTTAAATGGTGATATTGGGGTGGGGGGTGCTTCCTGTTTGTATTTTCAAAATTAGGGCCACATATGAACCTTCTCTGGGTGTCACATTCTAATTTCAAACAGCGACAGGCATCAGATGCTGTGTGGTTTGTCTTTCACCTGTCGGCTTGCTTCATGGCAGGGTTACGAAGCGCAGCCTGAACTCCCAGCTGGGAGGACAAGGCTGTCCTCAATCCTTCCCCAGTTCTCTTCAAGGGGTAGCAGCCCGGGAGGCAATCTTAGCAACAGCAAGAGCCTAATTAACCAAAAAAAAGGGGGGGTGGGCTTCTGCCATCTGTTTCCTCCCAGGTACCCAGAACATGCACAGCACTAAGGTAGAGTTGAACCCTATATCGGGTGCCCTGGATGCCCGCCTTTGGAGGAGGGTTGCCCCAGCGTTCTGTCATCCAGAACCCCAGGGATTAGCAGAGGCGAGAGCCGTTTTTCTGACCCCACCTGAGAGCCACGCAGAAAGCCATGGAGGAGCTAAATACGAGAACCAAGAGAGATGAAGGGGATGGCGGAACAGTTTTGGAGAAATCGCCCTGAGCCATAGAACTCTTCCCTCACCTTCCTGAGTAATTGTCACGTGGTAGGCTGCTGCGTGTGTGCACGTTGGAGGGTGAGTCGAAGTGCGTGCATGAAAGGCGTGTGTGATCATACTGCGTCAGCGGTTGAAGCAAGCGGTCCTTCCTGGGCCTTCAGCTACCTTTATTCTAAGCACTGTAATAACTCAATAGGCTTGTCATTAAATTGGCACTCAAATATGTTTGCACTTTAGGGGCTACTTAGCGCCCCTGAATTTTCTTTTGGACCCATTACTAAAAGCAGGGCTGCGTTAGCGTGTGCACAGTTCTGCATTATGCAATTTGTAAGTAAGTTGAATACATCGAGTATCTGAACCTCCCTAGTATCAAGAAAGGAGAGGTTATAATTTGTCATATACTGGATATTAACTTCTTGGGTTTATTCAGAACAATGACATCCATTCCCATTGTATTATGATACTGCTAAGATGAAAAAATTCATGTATTGATTAATAAAGAACATTTATTTATCTTTTGGAAGCTGACTTGGAAAATCTGCTCGAGCGCGCTCTGTCCATTCATTCTTACCTTGCCTTTGGCGCCCTGAATAACCCTTTTTATTTTCCCAGATTTCTATTGTGAAGAGAAATATTTCCATATTCTGTGCACTGCATAGAATGGGTTTTTGAAGTGCTTGTGCTGACTCATTTTTTTAATTGTACTGAGATACGGAGTATGGTTTGAGAGCAGTAATGAGATTCTCAGAAAATATGAAAACTTTCCTTACTGACTCGTTAGAGAAAGGTTGGGGAAGACAAGGGGAAATACATCAACGAGCCAATCAATTATTGTTATTTGTTGGGATTAATTTGGTGACTAATATTTTCAGTGCCCGTCAGGCTAGTAAAAGTGACTTCAGCTTTACTTTTCAATGGTA